CATTGAAGCAACCAATCAGCGCTATTCAGCGCTATTCGGAATAGCGCTGATTGGTTGCTTCAATGACGCATTCTCTATTCCGCAGTCTTTTTCCGCACCGTGTGATTTCACCCTAATACTTTTTAAGCGCATTCCACATTCAACGGACTCGAGAGTTGAGTAAACGCTCACTGCTATTGGTGTATCCTTGTAGATCTAGGCTGCGGTCCACTTGACGCTACAAACTCGTCGAAGCATTCTTTGATTAGTCAATTCGTAAAATTCTTTGTTCTGATTGGTCGCTCAACGCTTCGAAGCGTTTATAGCGTCTAATGGACCGCAGCCCTAAAAATCTGATTGGATGATCGAGAAGAATATACCAATAACAGCGAGCGCTTACTCAACTGTTAAGTCCGGATGGTGCACTCATCTGCACCTAGTTACACCGGAAAAGGAACAGAACACATGTTTGTACGACTTTGTACGGTTCCGGACTAATGGCAATACCGGCATGATCTATTTATTACCACTATTTACCGGACGGCGGGCAGATATTTCGTTAGTCGTAGTTTAGTCGTGCGTGAAACCCGTAGCCGCGTACGCCGGTCGTTCTTCAAAAGCTACGGGGTCCCTTGAACCTCGTTTCGCGTTAAATAAATTTGAATGGGATCGGAGCTGGTCACCGAGATGATTATTTTATACGGAGCAGTTTCGAGCAGAGGCGACCGTGATTTCAGATAATCGTAGATTTATCTAGTTGAATGATTCCGTGCGATCGCCGAGCTGCGTCAGTTTTATATTAATATTAATGCCTTCGACTCCTTGGAGACGAATCTGAGAGAGAGAGCGAGAGAGTTTATCATTGTGATCGGTTGATGTGCTGTGTTGCCTTAATCGTTACAATTGTGCTATAATCCGATTGCTCGACGAGCGATAGTTTTGCATTGACATTTTATTTATAGAATTGTAACATAACGTGTAACTCACACGCACGTGTATATATCTATATATGTATATCGATAACGAAGAAATTGTATATATAACGTTGATTTTTTAAATCGAATTTTTTGCGCGTCTCAAGCGTCTTTTCTCCTCTTTGATTAATGGTTCCCGCACGTAACAACATGTTTCTCGTTTGCGTGACCGTGGGACTTGTCTTTTTGGCGTCGAAGTATCGCAACAACGTGCTTCGTAGCGTCAAGCATCTGTATAAAAATATTAAAAATCGCGATGGCAGTAAGGATACTGATAATACAGCCAAGCGCGATAAGCATGATACTGATAATAATAATAATAATGAGGATAATGACAACAAAGAGACTAAGCTTATATTAGACAAGATTATTCTGGCCGACTCTCCGGAAAAATGCGATTACGCCGTACAGCGTATTCGTTGGTAAGCGAAAATCGAAATTTGTTATTGCCAATTTTAAGCTTTTATTAATCATATTCTCAACACGTCTTAAGACGTTACAACAGACGTTGCTATATCTTGTGACTTTCCATAACGTGATGAAAACGGCCGTTTTCATAATTATTGTTTACATTTTTTTCTGGAGTGAGCCGAATACCAAGATTCTTATTGTGTTTGAAAGGCAATAAGTATAAAGTGTCCTTGGGATTCTCGGAGAAAGATCTGGATTTCCTATGACAATAGCTGGCAAAATTAGCGATCGTTATATGAAAGAAAATCTATTTTAATTTCTATTTTATAACAGATTTTTCTTTTGCAATAAAATAAATTTTGTTATTATTTATTAATTACAAAGAATAAAATGAATTTCTTTTTCAATTTACTGTTATAATATAAATTTGCTCTATTTCTAGGTTGACTGCTTTTCTCAAAGAGAATTTTCTTTCTTTAGTAAAATAAATTTTATTATTAATTACAAGAGATAAGATTAATTTTTTCTTCAATTTCCTTTTATGATGTAATATACTTGTCTCTCTCCTATTAGTATGTTGATTGCTTTTCACAAATCTGTTTGATAAAACGTGCTCTCCAGAAGAAATAGAAACATTATTTATAATCTCTTATTAAAACAAAATTAATTTGTTGCATATGTTTCTTTGACAGTGATCTGTCTGATGGTGTACTGGGTTTCGATTGCGAATGGGTCAAAGAAGGACCTGTCTCTCTATTACAACTATCTACTTACAATGGAGTAGTTGCTTTGTTTCGCATTGGAAAGATTGGATACATTCCACCTAAACTTAAGGTAAAATTTTGCAAAAAAGTTCAAGATCAACCGTAATTATGCATAATATTGATTTGTAATTATGTTTGTATGTTAAGGAATTGTTAGCTAGTAAACACATCCTTAAAGTGGGGATCTCTTCGTTTGAAGATGGACAGAAGATTGTAAAGGATTATGGATGTAGAGTTAATGGAACTCTTGATTTAAGAACCTTAGCTGAAAATTTTGATCTACCGAGCCGGAAGAGCTTAGCCGCCATGAGTTTAGAATATCTTAATATAGAGATGGACAAAATAATAGAAGTCAGGTGCGGTGACTGGGACGCTAGCACCTTAACCGACGAACAAGTTGCGTATGCCGCTTGTGATGCGCTTGCATCTGTAATCATTTATCATAAGGTAAGAAATTTTAAATATCTTTTTTATACATGATTATTATAATGATCATGTTTCTCATATCCAATTTTGTTTCAGATAATGCAAAAAGAAAAAGAAAAATATTCATTATGGCATAGAGTAGGAATTTACTTATATAATATATTGAGTAGTGATATAAATGTGCGGATTCATGGTGTACCTGCCAGAACAGTCGATACGAGGTATAAAAATTTATGAATTATATAAATTATTTAAAATTATACATATGAGAGAAAGAGAGAAGTATACATAAATGTACATCTGTTTAAGGTTCAAGATTCAGCGATCACCAAGTGCGGACAGTATTGATAATGTTTTAAATGCTAAGAATAAATCAGTAGTAGTAGATAAAAACACTATTAACGATCGTAAAAATGCGATACCTACTAGAATTAAACCATTATATCATAATTGTTATTTACAAGCACCTGATGGAGATATATTGTGTACATGCGATCGCAAGAAAGCAGAATGGTATGTTACGAAAAATTTAGGAAAACTTGTGGAGACAGATCCATATACAGTCAGATTAAATTTTGAGCCATCTGGCCGAGCATTGGGAGAAGTTGGACAATATTATACACAGGTGAAACTCAACCAATGTGTAGTATGTGGCTGCACTGAAAAATTTATTAGAAAAAATGTTGTGCCACGAGAATATCGAAAGTATTTCCCATGTAAGAATTTTTATTATTTTTTATCTATTATATGATATTAAAAATAGCAAAGATATAATATTTATATTGATTAATGAATAACGTGCCAATCTAAAATGGACATTCTTTTCAGTGGTAATGAAGGCACATCAGTCTCACGATGTATTATTATTATGTCCTTCGTGTCATGAAATCAGCAATAACCATGATCTGCAACTCAGAAGAAAGTTAGCAGACATGTGTGATGCACCGTTAATTGGGCCGATGACACATGTGCGAGACAATTTTTTGCACAACCGCCGAAAGTTGCATTCAGCTGTTAAGGCCTTGAGGGAAAAGTTCACGTTACCTCCTCGGCAACGCGAAGAGTATGAAAATTACGTACTAGAGCATACAGGACAGCAGAAAATTACGCCGGATCTTCTTAATGGTCTGAACGAGCAACTGAAGAATGCACTGATCCAGAAACCGATACCTAACAAGTATCAGCCACATGGCTTGAAGGTACTGATTTTAAAACAAATCGTTAAGACAAATCTTTGTACTATTCATTTTAATTTTATTCGACAGGTGGTACAACATTTTCAAAAGCAAGAAAGTGGACTCGTCGAGTTGGAACGTATGTGGAGAGAACATTTTCTTTTCACAATGAAACCAAAGTACCTGCCAAGTTTATGGTCTGTACGCCACAATCAAGAACGGTTGATCATACGCCAGGCACAAAATAGAATCGATGCGGATGATGCAAAGGCGGCCGGATTAACTCAATAACGCTAGAATTTGATTATTAGAACTGAAAAGTCTCGTATAAGAGCGAGAACTTCTCTCCACAAAGACTGTTATATCAATCAATATATCTCCTATAAATATATATACATATATATGGCTATATTCTACTTTTATTTATCTTCATGTAACATGATGCAATAGTATGAAATCCACAAATCATTCCTTAATATAGAAACTAACATTTTATTCTCACAAAAGTTTCAAACATTGTGCGTTCAAAATATACATTTTAAAATCAACATTTCCAAGATCATATTACATATTTACAAATTTCTATGTTGGACAAAGAAAAACAACATGCTATACTTTGAAACCACGTTAATTAATATCAGAATCTATTGTTTATTACGACATTATGTACAGTTGTCTAGAGTTAGAATAAGTAAATTTAGACTAGGAACAAATCTCATGGCTGCCTAGAAGTTTCTCGACTGCTCGTCGAAGCTTCCTGCGACGTTGGTGGTGGTGGAGTCGCCGTTTCCTTTTGATTTTTCAGTTCATCGTCAATGCGTTCCTTGGCACGGACAATCTTGGACTGAAGATAGAACGAGCCGCCCTTCAATTTGTCATTAGCCTCCACGAGATATTTGTAGTTTCGCTCGACCAACTCTGTCTGGTCAGGACGCTCCACGTTCAGGATGCGTAGGGCCTCTTCCAGGGTGAGACCAGTCCTGACGTTGGTGGCAACGTGTTGCGCTCCCTGACTGCCACCGCCCGCTCGCCGCGCCGCTTCCTGGCTCGCCGCGATTTCCTGGCGTAACGCGCGCGCGAACGCTTTGCCGACGACCTGCGTACCCATCACGATGATCTGTATCAGGTACTTCGCCATGACTTAACCTCGCCACGTGCTTTCGGCACCTCGACGTGCAGACAAGCTGTCACGCCGGCGTTATCTGTCCTCTCGTGCCTGACCGGCTGGCCGGTCACTGTTCCACAGTTGTGTTTATCGGCGCAAATTTGTACCTCTGGCCACGCATCAGCAACACGATGTCTCGGCTACCACGAGAAACCTAACCTAGTGATTACACATTGCAATCGTAAACGACGTAAACTTGCCCGCCTATTACGATCGCGAGTGGAGTGAGGGAAATAGAAAACGTGCTTTGCTTTCGCGATTTATATAGAGTTTGAAATATATCTATTTTTTTTTTAAGTTTAACTTTCTTATGATAAAATTATATTAATTTTAACGGTTTTGTTATCTGTTTATTTTGTCTGTATGTATTCAATTCAAGGGTACGTACGTTCCGTTTTGATATCATTCTATCCTTGCTGTTCACCGAATGTTAAACAAAGATAAAATGATAGATTATGCGTAAAGCGGAATGCACACCAAGTTGATTTCGCTAAAATTTGTTTATTTGCATTAACGATGTTATATTATTACGTAATTCTAATTGAAGGAAGCGGATGAAAACTACAGTCGTGCATATACTTACAATTTATGAAAGTCATTCTCTTATTTATTATTTTCTATTTATCTTCGTAATATGTTAGCTGCGTTTTATCTGTGTTTCTCTCTACTTCACCGAATTCGGTGAATAAGGATATAGAATGATTACACCGATTTGCAAAACCGAACGCAGCTTTTATTTTATTAATTAATTTCCCAGACAGCACATAATGTTTACGATAAATATTTATTAATATTTATTTTTTGAAATGTTGTATAGATATTTTATACATATTTAATATAAAGCTTTATTCGAAATGTTATTAAAATATAGATTAATATTTTATGTAATATTTATGATAAATATAAATAAATATTTCTAATAAGCATTTTTTACTTGGATTTTAATGTCTCATTAAGTATTTTCGTAGCATTTACAATAAATATTTTATAATATTTATAAATGTTTATAATCTGTGAAATCTAAGACCACAAAAAAAAAATATTTACAAAATATTTAAAATAAATCTTATAAATATTTCGTAAATATTTTATAAATATTGTGTGCTGTCTGGGTTATCTTAGGATTTTTCAATCGGTGTGTGCGGCAGAAAATCTTTAAAGTGTGCTACGAAAGTTTCAGAAAATATAAAACGAATAAAAAGATTTTTAAAATAAATAAAAAGCGAGTGAAGAGCAAAAGTAAAAAGTATTTTAAAAATTGTGAAAGCCTAAATTATACACGTATCTATTGTGTTTGTACCTTCATTTTAATCAAAGCGATATCATCATAGTAATAAAATTATTTTAAAAGTGAATGAATAACAAATAAAAACTTTAAAACATTACTTTTTATTTCTAAATGTTAATTATGTTAGCGGTATCTAGTTTTAAAAATGTTTTTAAAAATTATATCTATACTGCTGAGTGCTACAGTGTTTGCACTTCTAAAATTTGAATTATCATTCAATGTGCCAAGGAATAAAAAAAGATTGAAAACTGACTTAACTGATAATTTTAAAATTCATATATATGTTATACGTGATACTTATAAGTAATCAAATATTTATTAAACGTTCCTTGTTTATTATATTGTTCGAGATTCAACGTCTTTCAAAGCATCGTCCGTATCGACAGTTTTCTTATCGTTTAAAAGTCGTTAACTACTGACGAGCATTACCCAAGCAAAACAATAGATATAAGTCACGTTAACGTCAAAATGACGAGTTAATGAATTGTAACTTATAAAATGATTTTTTATCATTGAAAAGTGATTTTTAATGACACTTTGAAGCCATTTCGATACCATATTAATGTTTTTAAAAATGTGTTGATTCTCACAACCATTTATATATTTATTTGTATAGAGAGTGTATACAGGGTGTCTCGAAATTTCCGCATTCGGAATACAGAACATGATACTTTATGCTAAAACAAACATTAACTTTTTCTTTTAGCAAAATTGCGTCCGATAAATAATTTTTGCGCTTATCTGTTAACTTCAACCTGCTCTCCAGCAAGAACTACTTATCGGATGCAATTTTGCAAAAGGAAAAAGTTGTTTCTTTTAGCATAAAACATCATGTCTTGTATTTCTGTCTGTTTATTCCCGAATGCGGGAATTTCGAGACATCCTGTATAAAGAGACCCCGTTTTTTCTCACTCTTATTTTGACAAAATTATTCGTGGCTAGACTTTATTATAAAGTTTTTAGTTTGGATCAGTTTGGACGATTTTAGCACTTCGTATCTTCCCTAATTCATCCCATACAGGCCTGCGTTCGGAAACATCACCCGAGTGCTCCCGTGTATCATTTTATCCTTATTATTCACCTAATGTTAAACAAGGATACTCAGGTGATGTTTCCGAACGCAGTCCAGCATGCACAGAAGCTTGCAGCAATATTGCTGCAATGTTGCATGCTGAAATGATGTATACTGCACAAGTTGTTTTAGGCCTGGTTGCACCAACGTTACTTTGGGTTTGTCGCGTTGCAAGCTCCAACACGCTCCTACCATAACTCTTACTCACTCCAACGCGCTTGATAGAGTGAGTAAGAGCTATGGTAGGAGCATGTTAGAACATGTTGGAGCTTGCGACGCGAACAAACCTTTTGATTTAAGAAATGGACGAATCACAGTCGATTATTCTCCTCGAATTCGACTGTAAGTCCGGATCTACGATAGAGTTTTAAGCCTTAAGCCATAAGAAATGGACGAATCATAGTCGATTATTCTTCTCGAATTCGACTGTAATTAGTCAGTTTCTTACGACTTAAGGCTTAAAACACCTATTGTAGATCCGGGGTAATTAATCAATTTCTTACGGCTTAAAGTTTAAAACACCTATTGTAGATCCGGAGTAAGCGAAGCTTAAAGCTCTTTCTGTCTCTCTTTAACTCCGGATCTACAATAGAGTTCTAAGCCTTAAACCATAATCGACCAATCATAATCGATTATTCTCTTCGAATTCGACTGTAAGTCCGGATCTATAAGGCGTCTTCTACAATATACGAAGTAAGCTTGGTTTAAGAAGTAAGAGTAAGAAATTGATCAATCACAGTCGATTATTCTTTTCACAATCGACTGTGATTGGTCAATTTGTTACTCTTACAGTCTCATCCACTACTGCTACTGGCATTATAGACCATGCATAATAGGTGTTTTAAGCCGTAAGAAATTGACCAATTACAGTCGAATCCGAGGGGAATAATCAACTGTGATTCGCCCATTTCTTATGGCTTAAGACTTAAAACCCTATTGTAGATCCGGAGTTATTGATCAAATTCTTACGGCTTAAGGCTTAAAATACCTATTGTAGATCCGGACTAAGGGCCATAGCACACAAAAAAACTTAAGCAATAAAACGTAAGCAGTAAGCGAATTGACCAATCACAGTAGAGTCCGTAAGGCCATAACATAAGCAGTAGCGAATCCAACATGTTGATTTCCTTACTACTTACGTCTTACTGCCTTGAGTTTTTTGTGTGCCAGAGGCCTAAGGCTTTAAAACGAGAGAGAGAGAGAGAGAATTTTAAGTTTCACTTAAAGTCAAAATAACGTTGGTGCAACCGCAGGCCCAAAACACAATAAGTGTAGTAAGTCATAAGAAACCATTCAATCAGTCAAATGTGAGAATAATACTCGATTATGATTGGTCAATTTCTTAATGATTTTCTACAATAGCTATGCGTTCGGAGATCTCGCTATCAGCATCATTACATCATTCTATTCTTGTCTAATAAATGATAAAGACAGAATGATGATAAGCGTTATGAGCATCCAAAAAGTGCTTTCCATTTGCGACACAAGGGACACAAGTGTCGTTCTACCTTTATTACTTATTAAATGTAAAGAAAGATAGAATGGTGCTTAATTGTCTCAATTTGTATCACTTATTCATTTCTTTCAATATATATTATCTCGGTTCAACTTATAACTTTTCATCTTTTTCTAATTCTTAGAACTAGACAAAAATGAATGGTGCGTTCGGGGAGACGCTATTAGCGCTATTTGTGTCAGTCTCCTTACTTTACGTCTAATAAACAACGAAAGTAGAATGACAGGAGTTTCATCTGAAGAGTTGAACCAAGATTTAAAAATTAAACTACATTTGTAAAAACGGGAACGAATGGAAAGCACCCAAACCGAATGCAACCAAAGCGTAGCAGTACAGCTGCAGTGTGGCGCGGCGGTGGTGGCCACTGCACTCCCCGTGCACCCCCTTGAATTGCATAAGTTCGCACTTGTTCGTACTTGAGCAGCGTTGGCCAGCGCGTGTGCCAGACCAGCACTGCCAGCAGCCAGCAGCGTGCGCGGCGCGCGCGCGAGCACTCAGTAGCGTAGCGAGTCGCCGTCGCGCGAGTTCGCCGTTGGGCGAGTCGAGTCGAGTAGAGTCGAATCGAGCCGAGAGCCGAGTCGGGTGGTCGGGTCGCGCGAGGACAAGCAAGCGGGACGAGCCAAAGGAAAGCAAAGCTGGTCTCAGTTCTCTCTTCGGTTCCTTCGTCTTCGTCGTCGTCCCGTATGCGCGTCCCTCGTCGGCGCGTCGCCGTCGGCCATTGTCCCTGACATGGAAGCCTACCAAAATGGCAGAGATCGTGCAGATGTTTTTGTTCCTATATAAATCCAAGTACCGTCGGAAACATCGTCGCGACGGCGGTGGCGGCGGCGCGTGGTTTGATCATAACCGCGAGCAGAATTGCGATCGGCGGTGGCGGTGTCGGTGTGGCCATGGCAGCGGCGGTAGCGCGACCGCGACGGTGCCGTGGGCACCGTTTCTACTGTGGGCGGTGCTCGTCTGTTGGGTGGTCCACGTAAGCGCCGCCGCCTCCACCTCCTCGTCGTCGCCGACGTTGGACGCGGGCTGCGACTCCGACACCTGTGTCAACGGCGCCTGTGAAAATGGCATCTGCGTGTGCCGCGAGGGCTGGCAGGGCGCACACTGTCAATTTTGCGGTGGAAAAGTCAGGTAAGACGTTCACCTGTCGATTCAAGAAATCGGGACTTTGCGATTCTGTCTTTTTTCCTTTCATCTAATCTTTCGTTTCTTCATTTTTTTTTTCTTTGGTTCAATCTTGCGACGCATCGTTACCGCCTCGTTTTTTGAAGCGCAAGACGGAGCAACGAGTCTTTGGCCACGCTCCTCCAGGAGGAGCGCCTCCCAGATGTTCGGGAGATTTATAC